GATTGGCACAGAGGGCTTCCGCTATGTCAGATCGAAGAGCAATCCAGCTGATGGTCTCACACGGGGAATCGAACCAGCCGAATTAGCAAATTGGTTGGCAGGTCCATCATTCCTGAAGTTTCCCGAAGCCCAGTGGCCAGAGTTCCACGAAGATCTCAGATTATCCAATTCAGTATGCCAGGAAACAATGAAAGAGAAGAAATCATCATTTTCATCCAATTGTAACAAGGAAGTTAATGAAGTCAACGTCTGTTTAGCTACTGAAGAGAAGAAAGAAAATCCCATTCTTTGTCACTTGATGCAGACTAGTATAACTAGAACAGAATGATTGTAGTGACAATGGATTCTTTGCATTCCTAAAGTATTTTCAGTATATTGTGTTAGACGTTGCTCAATTAGAGATTTAATTTCCGCACTGGGGGAGAGTGTTAAGATATTGCGATCGCCGGGGTTGAGAGGGGAGTGGGACGGAGGAAGTGAAACGGCGAGGAAGCTTCGCGGAATTGGAAAGAAAGAAACTAAAAAAGCGAACTTGTTATGTTAAATACAGTGAACAAAAAACTTAAAAATAATAACTTAGGAAAAGGCAAGGATACTCAGATTATGCCTCACGAATTGTAAGTCAGTCTTGCTGCAACCTTCAATTGTCAGTATATCTGAGTTGTTGTAATAGCTGTAATTTTGCTTGATTTATATAGTTGACTATTTACAAAATAAAGTATTAGTGCAGAAAGAGAAAACAGATTTGGGTATTTCAATGTGATTTGCTTCAAACAAAGTAGCGTCTCCCCGGTTGGCGTAGATGCGAAACACTGGATTTATCTTGTCTTCTGTGTGCTGTTATCAAATCAGTCTTTACTGATTGCAAAGATAAATTGACAATGTATTATTACATCAGCTATCTTGATGTGGTTAAATACATTTATTAAAGCAAGGTTAACAGCGAATGTATTATGCAGGCCACATCCACTGATGGTGTCTGTGACGTCATATCGATTAAAGGGGGTTGTTTCGCACCTTGTGATCAGTGCTTCGGTCTGGGTATTCATACTGCCATTGTATGCTTTGCCTAGCTGCAGCAAATTTAGCACTTAGATACCTCACCCCACCCACCCATGTTTATTCTAGAGGATTTTATCTGGTAGTAGGTCATTTTATTTTATATAATTTTTAATCTCACATAAAATAGGATGTATAGACCACTATACATTATATTTTGTTTCCACTGACTTTTCAGTGTGACTGGTGCCGGAGGTATGCCTTGGCAGAATGTCCAGAATTGTCATGGCTATCTCCTTTTGCTGCTAATATTACTGATTGTTACTCTCATTGCTATGCAGCTGCTATGGCAATACTTTGTGCCATCAAATCTAGTTACAGCCTTGGACCACAAACGGCACCTGCCTCCAAACACTAATATTAATTCTCTGCCGTTAAACATGGTTACAATCGCCCAGATCAAATGGAAACCTGATTTTAGAGTTATATATGAAAATACCCCTCTTTTACTTATAATTTTCTGCTAATATATATTTTTGGTCGACATTAATATCTTGTCAGCTCCATGTTCTTATTTAATTAATAATTAACATTATAACGCCTGGGTATCCCCATTTGTTGAGTAAAAATGAAAATGGGGGGGGTCAAAGAAAAATATTCTAATATGTAGAGGGGGGTCATCATGAAATTTCTGCTCTTTTAAGGGGGGGCTTTCAATTTTAAAAATTTAGGAAAGAAAAAATTCCCCTCCCCCCCTTCCATAAATAATGACCGGTCCCTTAGAGACCTTTAGCTTGACGTTTTACGTCAAACCGTTAACGAAGTTTTTGATTTTACAACTCTATTTAACAGCTTTTACACCAGTTTTGAAATGAAGATTTAGCGTTTGAAGTTTACGTTTGGCGTATAAATTTCATGCTTTAACGACTACAAGCCAAGCCCTCGTAGCAGTCCAAGCATAAAATTTATACGCCAAACGTCAACTTCAAACGCCAGATCTTAATTTACTGCTTTGGTGAATACGTGACAAGTGGTTAATTTGCTAGTTAAACTAGCCTTAAGAGCACAAGATCGAACACTTCGTTAGCGGTTTGCCGTAAACGTCAAGCTAAAGCCTCTGCGACTTCGGTATTCCAAGAAAATATATAGGCTTATAGCCGAAGCGTTCTGTTTCTGTCACAAGAAAGGTTTGCTACAAAATTGTTTGATGTGTTGATGGGAAGGTGAGTTGTACTGCAGTTAAATTGGCATAAACTTTACTTTATGAACTACTGGTTAGAAGTGTAGATATTTTATACGGAAGTATCTAACCACACAGTATCAAAATAGGTATGTAAAAGTACCCACATTTGATTGCGTATAGATTTGTACACATTGCAAACATATCTAGCTGAAGTTGTCGTGTTGGTATATATAGTTCTCACGGGGAAAATACGACATAAAATCAATGCGAAGCAGGAGACGATAGCTACAGGAAGAAATATTCAATATTTAGGAAAACCGAACATGGCGAAATATGTTTGAGATTTGGAAGGAATTGAATGTTTTGGAGCCCGGAAGC